TGCAGTTTTGTTTCGGAATAGCGTAGCACCTCAATGCAGCCTGGTGCGGTGGTCTCTTCTTTTCACACTCCATCTGGCAGACCATGTACCGACAACCCTGAATCCAGGAAAAACATTCTTCGCTCTTAAATAAAAGTAATACAAAAAATGCAAGAACAAGACAATTCAGTGCGCACAGCGGACTATGCGCGTTGAAGCGCGTCTTCTTTTGGTTTCGGAAACGTTTACCGAGTCGTGCGCGACTGAAATGAATAAAAATAGCCGAAATAAAAGGATGAATAACAACAAATCTGGAGTGAGGGACTTGCTCACGCGTTCGTGATCCGGGTGATGGTGGCATCAGTCTTCCTTGCCCTCTCCCCTCGATCTCGAGAAGTGTGGCTGTTTCTGCGTTGTCTCGTATGAGCGAGCTTAGAGAAAAAAAAATACCTGCAGTCAAGGAAAATGCAGAGGACGACAAAGTGAAAAGGTGTTGGGGGGGAGGGGGGGTGACAAGGACAAGAAAAGAAGTGCATAGTGGTAGATGTTCAGAAGCGAAGCGAGGAGCAGCGAATGCAGAACAAAACGATGCACCGCACTTTGTGTGGGTCGGCCTGTTCGCGGGTACGTGTCATCTACGCCACAAGATAGGCCTTTCCTCCTCTGCCTCGAACGGGCACGGCTGTTTGTGCTCTTGCTACCACGCGTACGCAGCGCGCAGGCACAACCGAGAACTCGCTTAACAGACGATCGTAGCAGCGAGGTGTCGTTGTTCACGACCAAGTGATAACGGTTGGCGAGTTCGTGCAGGTACGCGCATTACGTGGGTCACGTGCGCGGCGTTACGTCGTCACCGATCGTTTTTGTCTTCTTTAGGATCTTTTTCGGTTTTCTCGTTTCTTTTGGGTCTCCAAGGCGGCGCAATCTTTTAAATTCATCGCTCGGTGGAGTACGGAGCAAGTTGTACTCCGAGATGATCTAGAAGCGAGGGGGGCAGTCGTAACGTAACGACAAAAAAGAACTTTGAGCATTATGCCTTCCTTCCTACATTCCCAAAAAGAAGGGAGAGGGGTACAACGGAAGCGCGACGTCCATTTTGTAGCAGGTCGCTCGGGACGCCCCATTCTTTCATCGAGTTCGCGAGGCTTTTGCGGCATACGTCATACGTACTGCCGTACACGCGCATCCACGCTTTGGCTGTTTCCGCCTCGCGCTTCTTTTTTATTTCATATTTATTATATTTTATTTCGCATTCTGTCTGCCTTCTATGCGGCCAAGATATAACACGTAAGACGACAAAGGAACTGCTAATGGAGGCAATTCTGCCGGGTACAACCGGATGCTTCTCGCGGAGGCCGGTACTTTTCTGAACGGCGTGATGTCACAGTACATTAGCTGTGAGAACACAGGCAATGGGTGTTTTGTGGTGTCTTACATAACTAAATGCACATTTGGCACGATCGTGAGGACGTGGTTACGCGGCGCAGCGTTCTTCTTGGGGCAAAAATAATTGGCCAATCGACAGATACTCTCATGTGGAAGGCGCGGCTGATGTTTCCGTCTCCACGTTCCAGAGAGTGATTTGTGAAAACTCCAAATTCTGAAGTACATAACAAGTTTTCGTCAACTTTGCATCCTTTAAACAGAGCAACTGCAACTACGCTGCATGTGTTTGAGGGGTTTAATAATCCTCGAAACGAGGTTGTGAGTGGGACTTCCAACAACAGCATGCACGTTTAGAAAGGAACGCCATTTAAAAAAATCACTAAAAAACAGAACTGGCATGAAAGACTGTTGTCCGGTAAACTTTTGCGTTCACAATATGTTCATGTGGAACAGTATCGCATATTCAGAGGATAATGATTGATTGATATGTGGGGTTTAACATCCCAAAACCACCATAAGATTATGAGAGACGCCGTAGTGGAGGACTCGGGAAATTTCGACCACCTGGGGTTCTTTAACACGCACCCAAATGTGAGCACACGGGCATACAACATTTCCGCCTCCATCAGAAATGCAGCCGCCGCAGCCGGGATTTGAACCCGCGAACTGCGAGTCAGCAGCCAAGTACCTTAGCCACTAGACCACTGCGGCGGGGCATATTCAGAGAATGAAGTAGTTTTATGGGGCACCCCAAGTGTAACATAGCAATATATTGGCTTTACCCGATATCACTCATAACCGTATAAGGGTTTTGCGATCCTGCACCTACAAAAATATTATCATTACAGGTATTACTGATTATGATGTGTCCCAGTGTAGTTTTATTGCACGATGGCCAATTTAGCCAGTTCTGTATATACACGAAATATTGCCACGTTCCATTCCTCATGTTTTGTTATCGCTTCATTAAACTGTATGTGATTGTCAGAGCAAACCGCGCCAGGTGTGTTAGAGAAGCTTTCAACTGTAGTAGATCATTTCGTTAAGATTACGCCCACTCATTGAACATTACAGATTATTCTGGAACCTACGTCGCCGCTAGCGATAACACTAGAATATCCGATGGCAAGTGTATAAATGCCGACACGTCTCACCGCTTATCAGATAACGGCCGGCCGATATATGTCACGGGGTCGTGACGTGCATGAAGGCAGCAGACTCGATGTTCAGATGAAACTGTTTATTCAGCCAAACTTGAGGCCAGCAAACTCGAGATCAGATTACAGCAACACACGGGAACTGATAGCGGCGATGAGAGCGTCGGCCGGCGATCAACTGTCAAGCGGTGAGGCGTGTCGGCATTTATTCACTTGCCATCGGATATTCTAGCGTTATTGCTAGCGGCGACGTAGGTTCCAGAGTAATCTGTAATGTTAGCGGAGGGGCCGTTATCTTAACGAAACGATCTACCACAGTCCCAAAGCTTCTCAACCACTGCTGGCGCGGTTTGCGTTGAGGATTACGTACACTACAACGGGGTGATAACAAAGCCTGAAGAAAGAAACGTGGCGATACATATGCGGAGATAAAGATATTGTTCATGAACTGCACAATCTGGATAGGAATATACAGCTTAACATCGTACTCCAAGTGATGCTGCGCAATATTAGTGTACTGACAGTGGTTAAGTAATTATAACAGCGCACAGTATATCATACGTCATACAAACAAGATTCAGATAAACTTATATTAAAGTAGACATGTCTACCAGTATGGAGCCACCGTTACAGAGTTGAGCCAATAGTAGCAGTGTTGGACAGGGTGTTCATTTGTTTGTTCGTTACAAAAATGATGGCAGCACAAGCTTCCGATTTATCATTTGCGCTCGAAAAATAAGGCCATCTTGTTTGTACCTTATCATTACCAAATGCGCTGAGCGCATCGCTTCAAACAGAGCAGGCGAAGCGACACGACACTCAATCAACGTCAGAACGAGGTTAAAGGTAATTTTTTATCTTGCGAAAGCCGCAGTACGACGCTGGTGTATTAAACACATTGCACCTCTATTTTGTGGCGTTATAATTGCAAAAAAGCGAAAGTAACGAGGCAAGCGATCAGTTTTCGAACTAAGTGACGCCCATAACATGAATATGGCGCGGCTATTCGGTAATATGGCTAAAAGGATAACCTACATCCTGCTGACTGCAAGCCAGAAAAAGAACTTATCACCATAATGGTTGAACCTGACAGATTCTAGCCATCATGAGGCCCTGACATAAGTAGGTCATACTGCCAGATCACAAATTTACTAAACAAGAAGGAAAATCTGGGCTAGTTGGTAATAGTTCATTTTCGAAATCTCACAGTGCAAGAAGGGCGCAGATGAAGTACAGCGCTTGTGTTGTCTTGCACTTCGTCTGCGTCCTTCTCTCACGGCGAGTTATCGAAAAGGAACAATTTTACTAATTTCTCGAACTTTTTCTCATACGTGAAGCCTTTAGTATACACCTTAATGCCAGCCAGTGAACAGCAGCATACTATTCGAAACCCACAAAGACATGACGGATGCCGCAACCCACGCAAGGTCGGTTGACTATGCAAGGGTTCAAGTGGTAATAGACCTCCCTCTGAACTGCAGTGTTGAGTCAATCCAGGCCTCTTGTTCCTTCACGAATTGTCTTTCGGATTTTAGACAAGGTGTAACTGTACCCCAGCCTTTATTAAAACATCATTTAGTCGTAATGACCCTATTTCAGAGCGCATAAAAACCAGCAATCTACCAGCAGAAATATCACCTGATATCCAGCACTGTTGGCGCATCTGTAGACGTCTTTTGCAAATACCCGAACTGAATAATATCCGCAATGGGGTCACTCGAGGTTCAAGCTTCCAGAGCGATAAATTCTGTGTCCGTGTAATGGTCCCTTTTTATTGCTAACGTTTCTTCATGGTCGTCATTTGGGGTGACCTTTTGCAATCATGGTTCACAGTTAACTTTGCCTTCAAGAAACCTTGCGCAGCAGAAATGGCGAGGATTTTCTTACAGTGCTTCAAGCTTGAAATGAACGGACGATGCTTGTTCTTTTGGTTTATTTTGCTCCTTCTCAGAGACTTGCTCACCACTGACTTAAGTTCCGCAAGACGTGTGCTCGCGCTGATGTTTCGACAAATTTACTAGCCTTCCTCAAATCTAGAACTCGTCTTACTCCAAGCTTGTTGCAACGTCAGCTTGAGCTCATACCCCTGTTTACGCATTTTTTTTTTTCATCGCAAGCTTTCATCAGTACCTTCCGGCCATTTTTTCGATCACAAACTGAGTTGCAGTGCTCAATTTTGTGTATGAGTAGTGGCTAAAAGCTCGTACGTCAGCTTGTTATCTAAACAGATTGACTCTAACCACTTAAGCTTGTGGGGTGTTGCGTGAGAAACTTTCTCAAAAAACAGCGCAGGAAAATGGAGACAAAGCCGAGGAACAAATAGACCACACACCACGTGGGATGTGCTCTTCATGTCTGCCTTGTTTTCGTTTTTGTTGCTTTAGCGAGCTGTTTCCTGAGTCAAAATTAACTTTATAGGGTGTTACTACACCTAACCACGCATTGGGGGCGTCGTTCTCCACCTTCTCTCTGGTGCAGCAGCTTCGAAGCGAACAAGTCCACGAAGGGCGCTTCGAAGCTCCGTCGGGACCTGATCAACGCCGAGATCTCGAACCTGCGGGACCTGCTGCCGCTGCCGTCGTCGACGCGGCAGAGGTTGTCGCAGTTGCAACTCATGGCGCTGGTGTGCGTGTACGTGCGAAAGGCAAACTACTTCCAACACAGTAAGTCAACCCCGCGTTTCTATTATGCGTATGCCAGTCGGTGTAACTAGAACAGCCGCGCAGCTGCACACGTCACGTCTCTTCCTGAGTGCTTCGTAAACTTTCGCTTCGCTAATAATAAGCCGTGGTGTTGAGAGAGAGAGGCGGAGAACAGAGGCAGATCTTTTGGTTACCCTTAACTTTGTGTAAGCCCAGACACATCGTGCTGAAACTATTTTATACCGACATTGAGGATAAGATATCATGCAGTGGTTTACTATGTAGTACGCTTCTTTCAATTGCAAGGGTCGTATGGGTATAGTAATGTACGAAGACTGCATAAAGGAAACCAATTGGTGCTTTGGTGAGGAAGGGAGTGGCAGAGAAGCAGCAGAAGAAGCTTAGCCATTCGAGTTCATCGCTAGCTTTGCAGTCACGAAGGATGGGACGCAAAAAAGTCCTCGAAGAAGCAATGTTCTCCCATCGAACTTTTCGTCAAGTAAAATTCGTAAATAATGTTTCCGCGTTGATGACAAAAGGTTTTTGACCTTAAACGTTGCCTCAATTGACATTTTCTGTTGAAGAATTTTTTTGTTCTTGTTCCTCGAAGCCTACATTTTGTCCTGAACGTCTGTCACGCTTTGACCCAAAGGCAAGGGCATATTGAATGTGATAGCAAAAGACGTTTGACATGATCACGCGAATTTCAGTTGGTGATATGGCGGAGATGGCTGAATGAGTATGCTTGATATCTGCGGACTGCCTTTACAAATTCATGCGCTTGCGACCTCAGTGTGCACAGCAGTTTGTTTTCTTTTATTGCTTTGCCATTGAAATTGAAAACGTCAGTCACACAAAAAAAATTGTTTTTAAAGATGTGGGGACTAAAATACACTCGTATTAAAGTCATGGATTTGTAATATTAAACGATTTCTCCAAGAAATTTCGGGCAATTTAACTTTACCTGCTACGCAGATAACGTGCCTTAATGCGCAACGAAGCTCCAGGAGACGGAAAGTGAATTTCGGTTAGCTATTGGCGATGGCCTAAAGAAACGGTAGCAGCATGGTCACATTTCGAAAGGGAATTTCAGTCGCCTTATGTAAAAAGCTCCGCGTTGCCGGCCGCTGCACCGCCGGCATGACCGGAGGTATTGATTTGATGAATACCTCGCGGAAGGAAAGATCTTTCGTGGCAATCTTCAGCGCACTATAAGATTACAGCAGTGGCCAAATGCACATTTGTAGTGATAGAATGCTGGGTAAGGGTCAAACTAACTCTGATTTCATTGTTGATGATTAGTTGAATACGGTCTAAATTCTGAAGTAACACAAACACTATACGCGCCGAACTGTGCCACAACTTTAGTGCGTCACCTGCGGCGCCAAGCAGCCCGCCTGCATGCACGCGCGGCTGCCTGGACGTATTTGCACGTGACGCGCCTCGAAGTTCCTCGAAGTGGAGTCTCCCCACAGCTGCTGCGCGGGACTCTGGAGCCGGGCTGCAGCCGCGGTGGACGGCGTAAACTGGATTTGAGTTATGTGTTGTGCGCCAGCGAACGAGGGACGAAGCAAAAATGAAAACAAAAATACTCGACGTATACGCTCAATGCGACCACGTGAAAAGGCGGCTTGGCTTGTGTGTTTTTCATATTTTTGTGCAGTCATGTGCCAGGCTGCGGCCGCCATGATGGTTCCCTTGGACAGTAGGAAAATCTACCTGCGATACTTTGCTGTAGTGCAGGTCGAGGCACGCCTCCTCAATAATCTTTTCTCTCTTTCAGTGGGGTTAACGCTAGAGATTTTGAGCTTTCTGCGTAACTTTATTTTGCCTGTCTGCTGCATCACGATTCAGTTTGGTAAAGTTTCAATCGCCGTTCGCGTGCTCTGCCTTCCTCAAACACAGCAAATATATGCTAAGCATATAGGCAGTGCGATAGAGTGAAAAGTCTGCAAAAAAGCATTTCTTAGCTTTTGAAACAAGTATATTGCATTTATTTATTCGTAATAATTGAATATATTTCTACCCTTGAGCGCCATCACACGAGAAAGTTTACGGAATGTACACACGAAGAAAGCGTCCAAAGGACCCAGCAGAAAAAAAAATAGCTTTGAATCTATAGGCGATACACTAATGTTTGAAATAAACACTCAACCTGAATTAGGCATTCAGTTCCACCCATTTGCGAAAACAAATGTTTGTAGCAGGACATCCGATCTTGTATACCAGGGCACTGAATGAGAATGAATGTTAGCTGTACTCTCGGGCGCTGCTCTCGCTACGCAGAGCCGTTAGGGAAGTTTCGCTCGCCAAAAAGAACAGCTGCTCGTCCTACCCGTACACTTGACTGCAAGAATCGCCCCAGCTGCTAAGGTGGCAGCTTTTCAAAACAACTTTCTGAACACAAACGCAGACCTCCGTGCAAGCAAGTGGCGGAGCAGTGTATGTACATAAGTCTCTATATCACGTGGGGCTGAATAAAAAAAAAAACACTGAGTAGTAAACTTCACTGGTGTCAGGGTGTCCTCCAGAAAACTTGTCTCAAGTAACTCCAGGTACATTTGCCGATCTGACTGAAAAGGATCCTCCTGTACAGAAAAGATAACTCCAGTCACATTCCCTTTTATACCGGTTCTAATCTTTCGAAGCCTTCGTTCTGCCCTGAAATACTGCTTTCATAGCATGCGATAGTGTTACAGGATGCGATAAGGTTCTTTGCGATGATTTTCACAACAAGACTGAAAAATACAAAATTTATCAGTCTAAAAAATACTTATTTAGGTTTGCGTACCAGGACTCCGTAGTTATTGCGTATACTTCTGAAGTTCATCGATTTGAACATGTTTTCTGTGCGTGTGCTAATAAGAGTAAATATATGCATCTATTTTTCCGAATTATTCAGTTGTTAGTGGCACTCTGCCCGTGCCCTCTCTTGTGGTTGCGTTCTTTTGGGCCCTAAGATCAGTTACGAAATTATTGTGAAGTTAGCCACATAAGCAGTACGCAAACATAAGTCTCATGACTTTTATGAAGTCTCGATATCACATAAATCTTTGTGATAACAAGAGTTGACCTAACTGCAATAAATTTACATTAGGACTTGCAGCCCTCACGCTATCGCGCTAGAAAATCGTCATATCATACATTTTGAGTGAAGTGACAACCGTGAGGCCCATTACGACCTTTTATGTATTTAAGCCCGTGGCCTTGCAACTTCCATTCTGCAAATATTGCCCCAGAGTCATTTAGCACGGGCAGTTATGGTACGCGCTGTCAAGAATACGTAGTGACTAAAACAGCCAACACCCCGAAATATACAGTGGAGCTTAACATACCATTAATCCGCACTGTACCAACGCTGCCACATTTACGGCCACCTATTAATCAGCCACAGTCGCACAGCTTGTTCCCGTCCCCTTTACTGACTGATGTGATCTAGGTGATCAGGCTTTCAAAGTCCCTGAAAGTTGGACTTAGAGGCGCAATTACGTATGAGCACCAAGGTTGACAGTGACGCATCGCTTTCGCCACAAACAAGGTCTTTGTTTTTGCCTATTCATCTTCTTTTCCCACTTCCTCTTCCCAAATAACTACTTCCCAACGAGACACAAGTTGAGAAGATGGGGGCTTCAAGGTTTCCGGGGTTTGTCACCAGCGCGAAAATTTCGACTAGATTAGAGGCTCAGGCTAGAGTGTTCATGCTTACAATAGAGAAAAAAATAAAGGTAGTGAAAAACAAAGAGAGTAGAACTGCGGAAATATTTGAAGCTGCGGAAACGGAATGTATCAAGACTAGCTGTATGAAAATGCAATATTCGACGCTCTGACAAAAAAGTTATTGATTTTATAAGCCGCAGGGGATCCGTTCAGTACGTGCTTTTTGCGCGCAGTGGTGAGGCATGTTGACGAGAGATAGTCACAACAATCTTAATAGTTTCTTAAAACGTTTTTGTCTTTGTGTTTTGTTGTGTCGTGATATATACGTGTCCGCATGTCGAAAAATGAAAATCAGTAGCTAGTCAGCGCTCTTGACAGGCCTTCTTTGTTTCGTGCCCCGTCAGAAATTTGTGCCGTTTTTTTTCCTCACTGTTATAAAAAGTGGCATCCCCATCTTGAAGGCATCAGCTGCTTACATCAGCGTTTGTATGGGCATCGTCCGCTAATTCCGCCACAACATATAAGTGCGGAAGAGGGTAGATGCAACCTGGAGGGAGCCGAGATCACCTGTCAGACCGCTGGTTCTAGCGACTCCTTTTGGAGCTTCTTCTTCAATTTTAACCTTTCCGACGTTTTTCTGATATATTTCTTTATTATGAAAGGCATCTAATTTTTATCTTGTTGCTAACCTCGACTGCTTCCTGAGAAACAACACTGTTTGTTCTCTGCTACTATGGTTCCTATACTATGCCTTGATTAAGCCAGGTGGATTCAGTGTCGTATTCACATTCCTAAGCCCCACGGCAGCTGCCATAGAACACCTGTTGCCAAGCAGAGCACGGACAACTGGTACAGGCCATAACGGCCGCACGCCTGCTTCACAATCAACCTACTTTTTCGGCGTAGATACAGAACAATGTGAAAGGTCCGGCGAAGCCCAGTGCTACGGCGACGGCGGCCGCGCGCATTACGCTATGTAAGCCCACTCCTCAAGACACGCCAACCGTCGGCGTTCACGGACGCCTCTCGTAGTTCGAGTCGAGGTGTGCAGCGCGTTTCTCGTTGGCAACTTGTGATTGATGACGCAGTTTGCCTTCGTTTTGTCAGCACTACTGCTGCAATGCCGGCACACTGACGACGAAAGAAAAGAAAATAGATCACGAGTGCGCATGTGACGAGGAAACCGTGGGAACCGGTGGGAGGCAACGTTTTTCTCCCTGGGCGTGTGTGTTATGAGCGTGCAGCAGTTAGTATACGCAGCTATAGGCTGGCATCGGCCGACGATTGGTTGTAATCGCCGTTGGTAGGTCGGCTCATTTATTTGTTTTGCCTTTTTCTGGGGTTGCATTCTCTGCCATAGGCCAGTACAACCGCATAAACGGAGTGAGCGGGGTAGAGTCCATTTCCATTCGTCCAGAAGCTGCTTTCATTAGCGTGGCCTGGTAGCTAGTGCGTGCATATGTTCCGATCACTTTCTTTTTTGTTCTGTGGCCATGTCTACTGCGGTCAAAAGAAAATCACCTGCTACGAGCAGATTGTCGGCTGCTATGGGGGAACGCGACCCCTAGGGCGTGAGACACACTCAATACGCGATCCAGTTTGGCCGACTATTCCTTTAGACGTATCGTTGCTGAGCATCTAATTACCTGCTTTGACAAACTGTTTACGTAAGCGTAGAGAAGCAGCTATGCATACAAAGCGGTGTTTAGTGAGACGAATCGCCCATGCCAATATAGGGACAATACTTAGTTTCAATTCTGGCATTATGCAGCCGAAGTAAGGTGTGTTCTCATATTGTTATGCAGAGAATCGGTAACGTGATGCAGCAGTTTCAGCAGAGATAGAAATGACTGTGACTGTGAGTGATAGTGAAACAACAGTGAGGGATACAAGATTGACCTATATGGAAATGACAGACTAGGTGCGACACATTTAGGCATGTGTCACAGTCGCAGCCTACCAGGGTGTATATAAGTACGTGGGCTGTATAGCGCTGGCCGTCACCCTGTGCCCCGCCCACCCACGCTCGGGGGAGTTGAAAAGTCTGCCGACGGCATGTGTATGTGAATGCTCCGGTTCGGCTTAACCAGTTTAACTATATTATGACAAAGTATAAATATTCACGAGTTCCTTACTCCTCAATGGAGCCCACGTAACAGCACTTACATAACTTCAAATTTTCATTGAGTAATTCCTGTAAAATGCTTAAGGCAACTGTACTTTATACCATGGACTAACCGTGGTTCTGTCCAAGCGTGCAATCTTGGGTATATTGACTCGATTGCCCTACTTAACGCACATTCAGCATCCAGTCATTGGCAACGTAGTTAGGGTGCTATCCAGGTGCAGAAAAACGAGAGAGAAAAGTTAGTCCCTCCGCAGATCCAGTACTGCCTATGTGTTCGCACAACGTATTTTTTTCTACCAGTTATCATTCTTCAATATCAGGCCTGGCTTCCATCTCCAACGGTATGGGAAAGCAATAAAGTATACGCTCACGTCTTTTTTGATGCTGGCAATGAAGAGCTCCTCGCAGATCGTTGACCCTGAAGAAACAATGGGCCATGTCGCGCAGTGTCTCCTCCGGGTTGCATTTGCTCGTGTGATCTCAGTGGCTCGTAAAACTGCTTTGAGTCCTTCGATACTCTGGATGAACTTTCAGCAAAAAACAAAACCTTAACGTTCCACTGTATCGCCCAGGCATCGAAAGTATGCAAGAAAAGGAGTCTTAGCTCAGACACACACACAAAAAAAAAAGAAGTATAGCTTCCTAACGACAAAGCCGAATCCCTGGGGAGAGAAACACATCGCGGAATAAAGCTATTGCCATATTGTTCGCTGTCTATGAACAAACAAAGCAAAATGATTCGAAACGAAACGCAAGTAAAACATGCTCTGCAAGCAGCCAAAAAATAACTTTGAAAAGGGGTGAGAGTCAAACAAAGACACACGAAAGAGGCAATCGTAAAAAAAAACTTGACTACCAAAGATAGCCGTGCAAGCTGAGACACAGTGCAACCTGAGGCAGCGGAGAAAAAAATTAGGAACACCAAAAAACGACAAAATACAAGCACAAAAAATAAAAAGAATGGAAGCAGTCAGATGCTGGATTCGGCAAAAGAATGGTCCGCCGCATTCCATGGGAGGTCCTGCGAAAGATCGCCCCCCCCCCCCCCGCTTGCCCCCTTCTGCCGAGGCGTTAATACGAAGCGCTTTTTCTTCTCACACCTTTCCACAGAGAGCAGCGCCCCCGGGGACAACAATGGCGGACGTCGGCGTCGGAGGCGTTGGATTGCGTACGACCGCGCCGACGCGCGTAGCAGAC